TGGGATGAGGTCTACACAAACTGAGAATCGCATCCTATATTCAGAGTCTTCTTTCCCAGTTCCCATCTTTCCCTCCAAATCCTGGTCAGTTTCTGTATTAGTCACTTTCCATTGTACTCTACCACGGAGCCACACCCCATAGCTGATTCTGACATTCCTGAGCCTCCACTGTTAAAAAAGAAAACTTTTCTTTTTTTTTTTTTTTGGTACTAGGGATGAGTAGTTGCATTTCTAATGAATGAAAGAGAGAAATTCATTACTGTGTGGGAATAGGGGATTTGGACTAAGACTAAATTGGAGTCAGAGTAACTTGGTTCTGGTTTCCACTATGTTGCTCTTCAGCTCCATATACCTACTTCAGGTTACATCACCTCTCATCTGTAAAATAGCACAGGTGAATTCTAAGAAATTTCTAAAACCTTTTCCAGCTCCAACATCCTTTGTTAATGTGGTTAAAATACGGATATTTTAGCAAAGTTCTAGCAATTAGGTTATCTTGCTATTTTTGCCAAGTCATTTCTAAAAACTGCAAATGATAAATCAATTATTATATATGGGACCTGTGTTGTATATTTCTATGTATGGTGAGCTCTATTTTATTTGTTAGTAATAAGTAGGGAGACTGACGATTAAGTTTCTCTTAAGAGCCAGAACATTTCATTTGCTCAGAAATAATATAGTAAATCTATTTAGCTTTCTGAATAAAATAAGGGATAACCTTAGGGTATGACTAAGTCTTTAATAAACCCCAAACTCCAATTAAGATAATTTGGAATCTAATTATTTTTAAGTATAAACCTACTATTTTGTATTATACCCTAAGAATGTGAATATCAGGGATTGTCAGTCTTAGGCACATATATGCATCCAAAGTACCCCTCCAATGCCTAGAAATTAATCAGAGACAAACTTTCTCATCACTGGGAAGGTGTATTTGTATGCTATGATGCATAAGGTTTGACTCTATGAACTACGTTAACTCTCATTCCATACTCAGCAACATGTTTCTTGGCTTAAAAGTCCATCTCAAATGAATATACTCCATTTTAAGAGAACTTGTTTTAGTTTACTTTTGTCTGAGTTTGACCAACATGAAACAGCCCGAGACCAGTCAGTTGTGGAGAGCCAGTGCTAGTTAAAGTGCTAGTTAAAGCCAGTGCTAGTTAAAGCCTCTTCCTAGACAGCTAAGTGGATTTCTTTATAATTTACAACAATCTTCAGTGTTTATATACAATGTCTTTTCAGAAAATTCAAGTGCAGAAAAAGGATGACATAAAAATAGATCCCCGACCTAATATAACCTCCAGAATGTCATGTACCTAAAATAGTCAACAAATGGATTAGGCAAAACATGGTAAAATTAGAGGTGAATTTATCAGGCTCAAAAAAGGAACTGGAATTGTGTTTAGAAGAGCGTATTTATAATGTACTTGCATTAATCCTACATTAAGAAAATGGAGTTATGGAAGCACTGGTCCCTGGGTCTAGTTCTATACCCATCCTATCTACACAATAAGTCACTAGTGGCTATGGAGATTTAACATTAATTCATGTTAAATAAAATTCAGTTCTGTAGACACACCAGCCATGTTTCAAGGACTTATAAACTACATATGGTTAGTGGTCACATAGATCTAGAAGATATTCATCATTACAGGGGGTTCTATTCAGCAGTGTTCTTCTAAACAAAATTCAGAGCAGAGGTGGCACTTGGAAGTCCTCCTTAAATACATCTGGCTTCTACCTTTGGTACCACTAATGCAACCACCCTACAATAAGGAATTATGGAAACAGGTTAAGTTGTAGTGTTAGCTTTTTGTCTGTGTCCTTATTTCTTATGGCTAAGAATGTCCCTTTTTTGCATTAACTATAGGATCATTTACATTCTAAATCATTAGAGGTGTTTTACTTGAATCTAACTGGCCTAAAATATGGCAGGTACCCATGTGTACCAACATAAGCCTTAGCTGATACAGGAGGCACACAAAATTTCTTACACTTGTAAAACAGGGATGTTTTCTCTTTTCTTTTTCACACAGTGTCTTGGTATGTAGCCCAGGCTGGCCTCTAACAATCCTGCCTCAGCCTCCCGGAGTACTGGGATTACAGGCATGTGTCACCTAAAAATATCCCATAAAAGGATGCTTTCTATATATAATCTATCTAAATTCTCAGGAAAGGTACACCTGGATGTGAATTAACCAACATTTGTCAGTTTGGTGGTGGCCAAAGGTTAGCAAGGGCTAATCACTTCTGGGTTAAATGATAAATTTCTGAATCTGTAAACTAAGATGAAAGGTTCATACAGATTAAACCAAATTTCCATGTTTTTCTTAAATAATGCTTTTCTGTATTATTCCTAGAAAGTAACAGTCCTACCTCTGAAGGATTTACATGACACATCTTTAAATTCCAAAAAAAAAACTCAGACCAGGACTTCAAATCTGAACTACAGAAAACTTTCCATAATTTTCCAGAATGACTTCTGTGCTTTCTTCTATGAATGAAGATACACGTTAAAAAGTCAGACCTTAAGGGGCCTATTTTAATCATCCCTAACCCCTTTAAAACCACTGATGAGGGCTGGGTATTTAGCTCAGTGGCACTGTGTCTGCCTCGAAAGTATAAGGTCATGAGTTCAATCCCTGGTACAAGAAAAAAATAAAACCATTGATGAGGTCCTCTTCCAGCTTCCTCACTGTCCCAAGACATGGCTTTTACCTCTATCAGTATAATTTATTTTGCTCACCACCTCCATAAAATTTCCAAGGACTACTCTAAATGTGTATGGTAGATTGTGTACAAAATAATTTAATATGCAATTATTCACTGTTGTACATTGCAAAGCTGTTATTAGCATTCCTCTATTCACTTTTGGCATAAATGCTGTAGGTTCAATGTTCTGGTGAAAAATTTTAGGGCTGAACTAGTGCAGGGTTATTCTACTTCAGGTTGTTCTAAAGGAACAAGTTACAACACTCTAGTACTTTGACCAGCACTACTGCTCTATCAATTTGGGGCTATTGTCCTTTTTAATCATTAGTTTTACCATTAAGTCATCAAATCAAGAACAACTGGGCCAGGGATTTAGCTCAGTGGTTTCGCCGCCTGCTGCGAAAGTGCAAGGACCTGAGTTCGATCCCCGGTACCAAAAAAAAAAAATGTAGCCAGGCATGGTAGCACATGCCTGTGATCCCAACACTGGGTAGGCTGAGGCAGGAGTCCCACTGTAAATCTGAGGGCAGCCTGAATTACAGAATGCAACTTTGTCTCAAAACACCAGGGAAAGGTTGCCAGGGGTTAAACTGAGTTGTTCCGCCACCTGCCTTGCAAGCGCAAGGTCTGAGTTTGATCCCTGGTACCAAAAAAAAAAAACCACCAGGAAAAAAACGTATGAAAAAATTTTTAAAAAGAAAATGAACTGGACTTTTCACATTAGTGCATTTTCATTTTATGTCTTTTCCTACCTTTGTCCTTTAACATTGATCTTTTAAAAATATAATTCATACTCCGTGTCTTGAATACCGAGAATATTCAATTTTTTTAGTATATTCAATTTTAATTGATTTGCTTAAAAAATCAATATCTACATAAAAATAATTTTCATGTGTTTTTACACTGGTGTGTGCCTTTTGGGAAATGTGAAGGACCTGCTGGTAAATATTTGTTGGCAAATATCTGTTGAGTGGTTCTGCTGCCTGCCTCACAAGCACAAGGACCCGAGTTCCATCCCCGTACCAAAAAAAAAAAAAAAGGGCTGGACTTCTCAGTGAGAAGGCTCTAAAGCCAATCCCCAAGTATTGAGAAAAAACAAACCCAAACTTAGTGGAAGTGGGGCCAGAGGGCTTTCGAACTGGGTTTAGTGTCACATTATGCAAGTGGTTAAGTTCAAATGTTGAAAATGAGGCTACACTTCAAGATACACGTCCTACAAGGAAAAAAGAATAGAAGGAAAAAATGAAAACAAAGCTTTTGTAAATAAGGAGGGAAAGAGGGGTGGAAGGGGCGGGGTGATGGGGATAAAGAGGAAGCAAGATATATCCTGTATGGGCAGATTCCCCCGAAGAATGTTATGGTTACGTGTATTTAAAATGTACCAATAAAGGTTTTGCTTCCAAAAAAAGATACACGTCTTAAACGAAAGTATGTGTAAAAGCAATTTGTATTTTGGCTAAAACGGCCTGCTTCGCCCTGGCCCAGGCAGCCGACGCTCAGTAGGGGCGTTCTTAGGAGGACCGCCTCCCCCGCGCCGGAAGCCGAGTCTGCACCCACACACAGTGCTCCCGGTTAACCGCCCCGTGTCCCCACCGACCCCGGGTTAGGCCCCAAACCCACGAGCCCCGTCCATTTCAGATCTCGGGTCCTGAATGAGCTGAGCTCGCCGAGGATCCGCATATCTGGCAGATCCGGTTTCTAGACACAGACTGATGTGTGGAGACGCCATTATTTCGGGGGAATCACCGCTCCTACGGCAGGCAGCGGCAGGGACAGCGGCTTCCAGGGCGTCCTCTCCACCCCGGCCGCGGCCCCGCCCTCCGGCCACCCCACCCCCTCCCCGCCCCCTGCTCTCCTCGCCTTCTCCTCCCCTCCGCCCTCCGCGTGGACTCGGCCACGCCCTCTACCTGGTTCCGTCCGCCCACCTTAGGCCACGCCCCAAATTCTGGGCCTGCCCCTATCCCTAAGAGCCCAATGAGCCCCCCGAGATTCACACAGGTCCCGCCCCATGGCTGAGTGAACCAATGTGCGGCCCCCGCCTCACCCCCAGCACAGGACCCGCCCCAGCGCCGACCCTCCACGCATCACCTCCCTCCGGGGCGTTGCCGTGGCCACGCCGCGGCACGCGGACCCCGATGCTGCCCCCTCCGCCGGGCCCTCCCCCGGCGGCCTGGTACCGCCCTCGCTCCCTCCCCGCCGCGGTGACTCACGGAGCGGGAGGCGGAGGCCGAGGCGGGCTCTCCCGCTTGTGCCGCCGCTGCCGCCGCCGCCGCCGCCGCCGCCGCGGCTGCTCGGGCTGAGCGTGCCCCGGAACAGGCCTCGCGCTCCGCGCCCCGGACTCGCCGGCCCGGCCGGGTCGGGCGGCCCAGGTAAACGCGAGGCCGCCTGCGCCCGCAGCGCCGGCCCCGCGCCGAGCCGGGGTCGGGAGCCGCGGCCCTTTGTCTCCCAGGGAGGGACGGCGGAGGGCGCCGCGACCCCGCGGGGACCCCAGCTGGGGTCCAAGGAGCTGGGCTGCGTCCCCCCCCCCCCCCCCCCCCCCCCCCCCCCCCCCCCCCCCCCCCCCCCCCCCCCCCCCCGCCAAGCCACTCTCCCGCTCCTCGCCGCTGCCTGGGGACGCCGCCACAGGTGTCCGCGACGTCCATCCTGTTCCTCACCCCCGCGGTTGTCATGCCCGGTCCGCCCCGTCCGCCCTCCCGAGTCTCCTGCCCCGTGTCCTCCCTCACCTGCACCCCGCTCCCTGCATCCTGACTCCACTGCCAAGGTCTGGCCACCCGGCCGCCCTGCTCTTCGTCCCACCGTTGCCTGGCCAGTGTACCTGGAAGGCACAGTTTGCAGGCAGCGTGTCTCACTTGCGTGGAGGGCCGTGTACGTGAACCTGCAGAATTAACCACTTGGAATCCAAAACCACACTTGTCGCCACCTTTCCATTGCCCCACCCCAACCGCCCTCCCTCAGCCGAGGCCCCTTGATGCCCTCTTCATGGCCTCCCTCTCCTGGCCCGAGACTTGCCTGCACCGGTACCTGCCACCTGCGGTCAGGTAGCTCATGGGAAGGCCCTGGGGGCCCCTGTTGGCCACAAATCAAGAGTTTTCTGAATCGTGAGACATGTGGCTTGTACCACCTCCCCAGAAGATCTGACTCTGCTAGAGCTGCAGATTATTTTGTCTCCTGTCACTCAGATTTAAGGAAGTGTGCCTGGCCAACTGCTGGGTAAATCGATGCACAGGGTGTGCTGGCAGGGGAGCTGGAGGTAAGTCAGAGTTAGTCTTGAGGTTTTGTTCCCACGTGCTCTGGCTCTGAGCTCCCTGCTACAATCACTGGGCTCTCGTTCCGGGCTTGGGACCCTAAGTGATGACTGGTCTGTGTGCCATGCAAGTGTCCAGAGGAGCCCGCGTTTCCTGGGGTTTAAAACTGGACTTTGAATCATAAAGGTGCCAGCTGTTCAGTGCCAGTGTGTGGTTCATGGCTTCCGGATGCAGTGAGTGGTCCTTGTAAATACTTGTAGGGGATGGGTTCATTCACGAACCAGTGAGCCCTTCATGCGCCAGGCACCATACCACAGACTGGCGCCTCCCCGGGGAAGGCAGACACAGTCCTGCCCTCCTGGAGGTGACAGTCTAAGGAGGGAGGAGGACAGATAACCAGCACGTGAACAAATAAGCAGGCACAGTCATCCTGGGAGCGGTCAGTGCCCTGAAGACGGGCTGGGGCCAGGACATGAAGAATCTCCAGGTGAAAAAAGAAACGATTCATAGGTTGTGAGAATTCAGCTTTTGGGCCGGGGATTTAACTCAGTGCTTTTACCGCCTACTGCAAAGCACAAGGACCCGCGTTCTATCCTGGGTACCAAAAAAAAAAAAAAAAAAAGAATTCTGCTTTTATCCCAAGTACAGTTAGACGTCATCTGAGTATTGCAAGCAGAGAGGTGTTGAGATCTGATGGAAATTGGAAGATAGTTGTGGTTGCTATAGAGACCGGATTGTAAGGAGCAAAGTGAGGATGCCCTGCAGGAGAGGATGGTGGCTGCAGGGACTGGGTGGTGGCAGCAGAATTGGAGGGGTGGGTCCCCCACCCCCGCCCCCGCCGGGAGAGGCTGGGAGCTGGAAAGCAGAACTTTGAGGAATAAGGAGTGAAAAAGTTCAGTGTGTGGTAGAGACTTTCTTTTCTCTCTCTCTTTTTTTTGGATCTCTACCTAGCCCACTCTAGCCTCAAACTTGCTGTGTAGCCCGGGCTGACCTCGAGCCTGCAGTCTTCCTGCCTCCACCCCTAAGTGCTGTGAGGTAGGACTTCGAGGAGGCAGGACTGTAGGAATCAGACAGGAGTAAGGGGAGATGCCTGTCCTTGAGCTGCCAGCCCCGTGGCCCTCGTGGTTGAAAGCAGAGCAGTCTCCACGTGGTAGCAACAGGCCAGCCCTTCTGGATGGAAGGGTGCTTGTGGGGTTAAACCCAGTTGGAGATGGAAGAACACATAGGGGTTCTTTCCACACGTTATTTAAATGGGAGCTTTACCACCCTGCCTCTGAGTAAGATGTGAGCATGAAACAAGTGTAATAGCCATAGATGTAGCTCTGTGGTAGACCGTGTGCTCAGCACGTGCACGGCTCTAGGTTCCATACCCAGTTCCATACCCCAGAAAAAAAGAGAGAAAAAAACTGGGGCTATTCTTATGGTAGGTGGGAAAACACCTGAGCAGTCATGAGCTTGAGCTATTAACTAGGCTAAAACGTAACTCCACAGTGCCCAAATTTGTGCTGTCAGAGGACCTTGGAGGTTACAGAGACCAGAATCCAGTTTGATTTCTTATTGTTGTTTTTTGAGACAGGGTATCTCTATGTAGTCCAGGCTGGCCTTGAACTCATGGTGAGCCTCCTGCCTTGCCTCCCAAGTGCTGGGATTACAGGTGTGTGTCCCCAGCCTGGCTAGTGTCCAGTTTGTGCATTTTCTTGTGTCTGTCACTTTTCCCCTTTTTCAGCTCCTTGTGCATGTGCAGTACTCTCAGTTCTCTAAGGCCAGGATCTCCCCTGAACTCTTTTCTCGGCCCTTACAGCATCTGCATCAGGGCCTGGACAGTGTAAACTCACCGAGTATCAACCGACTGGAGGGGTGTCCCCTAGCACCCAGAACTAGCGCCCAAGATCCTGACCCTGGCTTTTCAGCGGACCATACCTCCCTGCAGACTGTGCTGAGTGCAGCCCATGGAAACCAGAAGCTGCGTGGTGAGGGCTGCTCTCCCCAGCCCTGCCCCCAGGAACAGCTGCCCGAAGGCCAGGGACTGACCCAGTCGTTATTCGACACTCAGCAAATATGAAGCAGAGCTCTTAGAGACCAGACTATCGAGGTGTGGATTGCAGTCCTGTCATCATGGGTAATTTAACCCCGCCACGTCCATGTTGCCCCATCTGTAAAATAATAATAACCCTCTCTCCCTTGTGGAGTTGTGCAGAGTATTTGATTAAATAATTCCTGCTAGATCCACCTAGCTCTGAGTTGTGCTTAGCTAAAGTATCAGCTACTATTTCATCTTTCTGTTTCTTTTTTTGTCCCCCATCCCCCCACCAAAGTCTCTGTGTAGCCCAGACTGGCCTTGAATTCACAGCAATCCTCCTGCTTCAGCCTTCCCAGTGCTGGGATTGCAGGTGTGCACCACCACACCCAGCTAATTTCATCTTCATGTTTCTTAAGTCCCCCTAGAATTTAAACTCAGTACCGGGAATTGAACCCAGGACCTTGGACTTGCCAGGCAGGCACAGCACCACTGAGCTACATTCCCAGCTAGAATTTAAACCCTTTGAGAGCAGAGATTTTTGTCTTTTATTGTCTACCATTATAGTCCAGTGCCTAAACTCAGTAGGCACTCAGTAAATACTTGTTCATTTAACTGATACTGAGCTCCTGCTATGTGCCAGTCACTGGTATAGGTGCTGGGGACAGTCAAGATTTGTGATCTAATTAAGCTTACTTGTATTTATATACTTTGTGTTTATATATTTTGTGTTTGTGTAGTTCAGGCTGGCCTTGAACTCTGTATTGCCCACGCTAGCCTTGAACTTGTGGCAGTGCTCCTGCCTCAGCCTCCTGAGTGCTGGTGTTACAGGCATGTACCACCATGTCTGGCATTTCTTTTTGTTTTATGGTGCTGGGGATTGAACCCAGGGCCTTGTGGATGCTAAGCCTGTCCTCTACACTCAGCTACACCCCCACCCCTGAAGCTTATCTCCTAGTGGGAGAGATAGGAGACAAACAAGCGAGTAAACAAAGGAATGTAGGATGCCAAAGAGAGGTAAGGGGAGAATGAGCAAGGTAAAGATGGAGAGCAGCTGAGGGGAGGGGAGGGTCAAACTTCAGCTAGTTCTAGGGGAGACTTCTGGTGGAGACCTGGGAGAACCCAACAGGACAGCTCTGTGGGCAGAGGATGGCAAGAGTAGTCGGCCCAGTGAGGCGGGAGTGTGGTGAGCACATAGTCAGCAGGGCCCTGGTCCATGGTGTGGTAAGGAGTTTGGATTTTACTCTTACATTCTGAACTGTGAAGCCAGGCGTGGTAGTGGACACAGGTAGTATCAGCTCTCAGGAAGATGAGGCAGGAGAATCACGTTTTGAGCCCAGCCTGGACAATTGAGTGATTTGGCAAGACCCTGTCTCAAAAAAGGCCTGAGTATGTTGCTCAGTGTGAAGGCCCTGGGTTCAGTCCCCAATAATGCACATGTGGGTACACACACACACACACACGCACACACACACACACACACAGATCCTGTACAGCAGGAAGCCACTGCATGGAGCTTTTCCTGGGGATCTCCGGGAGTATTTGAATTGTTACTAGGAGAAAGGTCAGGAGACCAGGAGGAACAGTTGCACTGGGACATCCTTACCTGGGGAGAACTTTTCAAGGCCATCAGGCCTGCGGTGTGGAGTGTGTTCCCTTTGGGGCCTCACTTCTCTGGCTGGGCACCCAGGCGACCTGGGAACTATCAGCTGAGTTGGCCCAGTATGCAGATCCCAGGCTTTCCTCTCTGTGACTAAGTCAGCATCAAGCATCACCGAGCGCAGAGTGGGGCTGGCCCTTCGCATGTCCTCACCAGGGCTGTCCCTGGTTCTCTTTCCCAGCCATGTGAGTTAGGCTGCTTCTCTGCATGTGTGTGGGGCTGGGATGGAGCCCAGACCATGTGCATGCAAGGTGGATGCCTCACCACTGAGCTGCACCCAGCCCAAAGCTCTGGCTCCTGGCAGTGACTTTCTAGCAGCCCCCTTGGTCCCTTCACAGGGACTGGCTCACACAGCCAGAGTTCCAGTTACCCAGGTGGCACGGATGGCTTTCTTGTTGCCACCTTCTCCTCCAGTCTCCTGCAGAGGGTCACCCACATGGTCCCCTC